CTGCTTCTCCCTCTGACCCTCCTCCCTCTCATGCTCTCTGTCTTTCATTCTCTCTCTCTCAAATAAATAAATAAAATCTTTAAAAAAAAAAAAAAGTAGGGAGGAAAAGTATATATGTGATTATTATTTCTTGGTACCGAGAAAAGGCTTTGCTTTGCTATACAGAATTCTGGATAACATTCCTCCACTGATAGGGTTTTACCTTCATTTTCTAAGTCGCTTGTGTGACCAGTAGATACTGAATTCATTTATGGAACCATGAATATTGACAAATTTTGAGCTAAGCTATACAGCATATCACATGTGCTCCTGCAATGTATTTATTTAAATCTTTATTTCTCTCCTCAGCTCTTCTTTACGAAGTGTTTCTACTGGATCTTCAAGACCTTCCAAAATATGTTTGGTGTGTGGGGATGAGGCTTCAGGATGTCATTATGGGGTAGTAACCTGTGGCAGCTGCAAAGTGTTCTTCAAAAGAGCAGTGGAAGGTAAATGTTCATGTGGGTGTTCCTTTTACACATTTCCTTTCCTAGTGTGTAGCTTGCTTGCATAGTTAACTCTAAATCATTATTGGGAAATAATTCAAAAACATTTTTGAGGCAGTCTGTCCGTGATAAATAGTAGTAATGTCTTACCTAAAAACCACCTGGAGATTTTCCACTGAGCAGTATTTAATGGGCAGAATTTGACATGGGGAACTGCGATCAATCAAAAAGAAGTTTTTGTTTTTGCTTGTTTGTCTTTTTCAGTGAGCCTTAGAAAAATAATTCTCCATAAATTTAATTTGCATGATGTGCAAGAGCATTTTTACTAGGCATACATAGAATGCATCATGTCTTCTCTGTGTTTCTGTATCAAATATATGTCTTTGTGGCAAATTAAAACATTAATATCAGAATCCTGTCTGTAATTTAAGTTGTATTCCATACAGAATAATTTCATTTAGCAGCTGCTCCAGATTCCAGGTCCCTGCTAAAGTCCTATCTTTGTTCTAACTGAAGGTTTTCCAAACCAGGAAGTTAAATGAAACCTCTGACTACAATTCTGTAGGTGTATTTTGGCTAGCTTTTGCTTCTGTCCAAGTAATTGTACTTCCTCAGGAGAAGTAGTCTTTTAGTTTGTTTTTGCCTCCCTCCATCCTCACTTACAAGCAGTTAATTAACATCAGACTTAGTCCAGATGGTTTTATTAATGCTGACTACATGACTGGGTAAAGTGTAGAATTTTTGCTATTAGGAGCAGCGTTTACTGGCATAATTGACACTGATTTCACCAAGGAGTTCCACATTAAGACTCCTGTAGATTTATTTCTCAGGACAGTTTTCGGGGGGACGAATCAGTGCTTCAGAGACCTAAGGGGAAAGGACTTGAATGTTTCATCTTTGTTTTGCTGGTGACCATGAGGATATGTCTTCAGTTTCAGATGCAGAAGCTGACCAAGTAGTTATTTCTGTGCTTCTGGGATTGATTTTGCGTTATTTAATTAATATTACATGATTTTACATTATTTACACTATTAATTATTTAATAGTCCCCAAACCCAGCATTGAATTGGTAATGGGAGTTCTGTATTTCTTTCGCAGAATATGGGCTCTTGGTTACAGGTGACAGAAAATTGAATACAAACTGACATACACACCAGTGGAAATTCATTGGCTCACATAACTCTAAAGCCCTAGTGTAGGCTTGGCTTCAGACAAGCCGAGGTCTTAAGCCAGGTGGTTAGAACTCAATCCCATTCCCGCTCCCCCTTCACTTTGCTCTGGCTCTATGCTCATCCAGGTTCTCTCCTGGTGATGAGACAGCCACCAGGACCTCATGAAAAAAAGGTTCTCTGTTCCCAGCTGTTCTTATAGAAGGCCCCAGTTCAATCTCCTAAGACTGTACTTGGCTCCCACATTCTTCTCTGAACCAAACACAGTGACCTGGGAATGCAGTGATCTGACAGGCTCCTTCTGGCTGGAGTCGGCCAACCTAAGCTACCTAGACCAACAGTGGGGAAGAGTATTTCCCATAGGAAAAAATGGATCCTGTTAGCAGGAGACTGATTCCTGGAAAATAAATTTGTACGATACTGAAATCAATTTATTTTTTTCAGACTTTCCTCCCCTGACACCCCCTTTTCTCTTTCCTTAACTCTGTGATTGGCTCAGTAGAAGATAAATAAGTAAAATTGCCTCTGGTACTTTCCTAATGCCACTTTGTACCTTCCAATATAAGGACACCATACCCCCCCCCCACCCCTGACTCACTAATTAGTGAACAAAGTAAGGCAATATGTAAAACTAAAGCAGTGTGGAGAAGGGTGTTTGGAGGGGGACCCTCTGTGTTGCCCTGCATCTGGGTCAGCTTTCATATCAGGACCCAGGTTTCGGCTGTTTACAGAACCTGCACTTCTCTACTTCTGAAGCAAAAGGTTTTCCCAAAGTTTTTGCTTAGTTTTTGTTTTAAATAGTTTCTGTGGAAGTAACTGAGGAAAGAAGTGTTTTTGTAACTAAGGTATAAATAGATAAGGAAAAGCCTTGATATCTATATATCTTTTTCTTTCATTGGAAAGCTAATCAATAATGGATAATGAAACTTGATGAGCACTTTTTAAGACTTCTATTAATATAGCTTAGTCCCTATTTTGGGGGGGAATTACAATTTTAGAGCTCACCTGCATGAAACAAGGCTATAAATTTTGAATATAAACTTCATGAGACTGAGGACTTGTTTTTATTTTGTATTTGTGTTTCTTTACTGTCTTATTGTATGTAAGAGAGAGAATATATGAGAAATTAGATTATCTTTGTATCAGAACTTTTTGATTTAATTATTTTTATAATACCATATATAGTTTGAGGCACTAGTTATAAATTTATGGTATATAGATTTCTTTTTTATTCCCCTTTTACAGATGAAGACGGTTGGGATCAGACCCAGTCTACTAATCAAAATCATAAGGCCAAAAACTCAGACCCGTATTAAAGTGTTAGGACTCCACACTAGACCCAACCTAACATCTTACAACTCTAAATCTCAAAATCTATTTCTTTCATTTTCTGTAATTCTCAAGTTCACGGAAATTCTACCCTATATGTCGTTTGTTCACCAGGCATGCTACCTGGTGATAACGAAGGGAGTGATGTAAGCCTTGAGAAGACATAATTTGGCCCCCTTATATGATGCATATGTATGGGTGACTGTGGATGAATATTCATACACATATGCAAATATGTATGTGTTTTTAAATTTGAATATTTACTAAGTTTGTTTTCTGGCTTTCCCTGCTAACCTTAAGCTCCTCTTTAGATTACAAAAGCACAGAATTCCAAGCAGCAGTGGATAGAGAGGGAGCTGGGATAAGAGCAGTCAGTTAAGCTGAAAAGAACTAACCACACCAGGGCGCCTTGGTGGCTCAGTCGTTAAGCATCTGCCTTTGGCTCAGGTCATGATCCCAGGGTCCTGGGATCGAGGCCCTCATCGGGCTCCCTGCTCAGCGGGAAGCCTGCTTCTCCCTCTCCCACTCCCTCTGCTTGTGTTTCCTCTCTCGCTATGTATCTATCTGTCAAATAAAT